AAAGGGACATGAGAGAGAGGAAAGAATGAGAGTGTCAAATCCTTACTTTGAAAAATTTTGTTCTCATCTAATCTAATTGGAATCCTCATTTTTTTTCCCTGTCTGGAATTTTTATTTTTATTATTTGTTTGTGTTTTTGAGAGACAGGGTTTTTCTGTACAGCTCTGACTGTGCTGGAACTTACTCTGTAGATCGGACTGGGAACTCACTGAGATCCACCAAGTGCTGCGATTAAAGGCTCGTCCTACCACCACCTGGCCTATTTGAACTTTTAAATGGATTATTTAGACATACAAAAAACGAAGCAAAATTATACATACTAAAGGGACATAATGATTTGCTATTCTATGAGAGATTTATTTTGTGTTTGTTTGTTTTTGAGACAGGGTTTCTGTGTAGCTTTGAAACTTGTCCTGAAACTTGCTCTGTAGACCAGGCTGCCCTCAAACTCACAGAGATCCACCTGTCTCTTCCTCCCCAGTGCTGGGATTAAAGGCGTGTTCTTTAAAGATGAAAACAAATTTATTCAGCTCACTCTGAAAAGAGCAGCTGGCCGGGCAGTGGCAGAGCTGTCTCTTCTTCCTAGGGAGACTTACAAACCACCACTGTCACTGCACTGAGCTCAGGCCCTCTCCCTCCTAAATGTCAGTGCATCCCTGGAGGTTGCAAGGCACCCCAGTCACCCTTTCCAATGCCTGCCTAGTGTGCACATCACTTTCTGTTTTTATAAACAGATCCACTGGTATCAACTTCTGAAAGAAAATAAACGAACGGACGCAACACTGGCTCTGTAATAAACCAACCAGGAAATTTTCATTTGGTTCCAGGATCCTCCCTACTTGACACAGTTGGTCCTATTTAACATTCTTAAAGTGTATCAGTTTTCTATGTATGCACATTTGTGATGCAGATTTTCTTGGGGACTGCTGGGTTACTAGTGCCATGCATTCCTAGTATCAGGCTGCCTGGGTTAGTGAATGTGGTTTAAATTTAAATGGTTATTACTTTTGAATAATTGTGTGTTCTTTTATGCTTTGCCATGTTTGGTAATTCAGGTTGCAATACAGGAGATAATTAACAGGGTACAGCCCTTTTTTGTAGAAAGTCCTGATTTGGTTTTAGTAGTGTGGCTTGAACTACTTAACTTCCCCCAAAGGTTGCAATGGGTGGAACTCCTCTAGCTGTACTCAGCAGTTAACCCCTTCAGCCCTGCTCGCCTGGCTTCGTAGCTGGGTTGCACTGGTGGGCATGACCTGCCTCACAGATTACTGCCAGCAGCATGTGAATGAAAGTGTTACACGCTCCCGAACCCCAGGTGTCACAAAAGACAAATTTGACCTCTACTTTTCAAGTGTTAATAGGTTTGAATTCCTCATACACAGATTTAATTTAACAAGAATGAATAGAATTTTAATTAGCCTGAAAAAACTCTTCTCTCGGCATGGTCTGCTTTTCTCTATCCCTGACTCTGTGGTTTTCCTCCCTAGGAAGCTGACTATTCCCACTAATATGGGGTCAGACTTTTATTTCAAAGACAGAGAGAGCTCCATACCCTCTTTCCCTGCTCGGCTTTACGCCTTCCGTGCAGGCCACACTTTTGGGGTAACTTTGGAGGCCTGTGAAATAGGCAGATTCCCTTGGCAAGGAAGGTGCTCTTCCTGGGTGTTTTCCCATAGGGCTTTTTTGCTTTTTCTCTTCCTACCTGTCACTCTTGGTTTACACCCCAGACTTTGTGTCTGCCAACAGAGCCAGGGAGAAACAAGTGACCCTTTATCTGTCCCAGCCATCTGTGGGAGCTGGTTCAATTTGTTGCTGGTTAGATGGTGCAGAGTGCTGGCACACTCTGAGTTTGTGTACTTAACCATTTTAAAGTTCACTTTTTTTTTTTTTCATTTTCAAAGCAAGCCTGCTCAGTTTGCTTGTGGTGAAACACATTGGAATTTATAGTGTCAGATTCCTCCTCCCCCTCAGGTGGAGCTCTCATCTACAGCCTGCCGACCCGACCGACCACCTCTCTATATTGATCCCACCTTTAAACAATTCCTTTTAAATTTATCTTCTGTCGGTGCTTAGCTGGCAGATTCCTTGATTTCTTAAAGGTCTTCAAATGCCTATCTTTACAAACATTTGAGATACATTCATTGTGAGCATTGAACGATTCAGAAAAGTGTGAGGAAGATTAAAGTCGCCTTTACTCCAGCCTAGAGAGAAATGTAAAACAGGGTATTGGCCGGGTTGTGGTGGCGCAGCCTTTGATCCTAGCACTGGGGAGACAGAGGCAGGTGGATCTCTATGAGTTTGAGGCCAGCCTGGTCTACAAAGCTACAGGAAGAAGCTCTGTCTCAGAAAAACAAACAAAATTAGGTTTTTGTATCATTTTTTGCTATGCACACGTATGTGTGTTCATTGCTATGTCTGTACATTTTTCCCCATCTTTCTAATTATTAGTTGAAGGTAAAGCTAGCAAAATATGATGTTTCAACTTATGACTGTTTCATAATACCTCCTTAATAATTACAAGTTTCTAGTCTAGTTTTGCTGTTGTGACGTTTGACAGCCGTCTTTGTCTCTAAATGTTCGTCTGGAGACGTGTCCCGAGAGTGGAAACTCGTCATTGCAGAAGTGTAGACTCTTTCTTTCCAGCACCTTTCTCCAACCATGCAAGCGCTGTGTGCCCAGAGTGGGATGCTCACACAGGGCTGAAAGGAGTCAGCAGAATGCAAAAGCTGCTCGCCCTTCCCTGTCCCCAGGAAGCACACTGGGGGCGATGTGCGTGCATGCGTGCGTGCGTGCCTGTAGGATGTCTCTGAGGTGCTGCTGTTCACTGCCACACCGGTTTCCCCATCAGTTGTGGCATGCCCTATAGTGAAGACATATGCTTGTTGGGCATCTTTGCAGATGTCCTACCCCCTTCCCTTACATTTGATTTAAGTATAAATTTCGTGTCAGGGAAACCATCTATATCCAGCCCCAGGGGATCCAACAGCCTCTTCTGGCCTCTGTGGACACCAGAGATGTATGTAGTACACAGACGTACATGCAGACAAAACACCCATACACATAACATAAAAATAACATTTTTTTTTTTTTTTTTTTTTTTTTTGAGACCGGGTTTCTCTGTGTAGCCTTGACTGTCCTGGAACTCACTTTGTAGCTGAGGCTGGCCTCGAACTTACAGAAATCTGTCTACCTCTGCCTCCCAAGTGCTGGGATTAAAGATATGCACCACCACTGCCCAGCAATTAATTGCCCAGCAATTAATATTGTTTAAACAAAGCAAAAAGCAACAACACCAGAAAGAATTTCAAGCCAGGCCTGATGGTTCACAGGTCTACAGAGGACACCCAGGGCTACCTAGAGAGACCCTGTCTCAGCAAACGGACAGAAAAGGATGTTTGAGCAGTATACAGACATGCATATCTGCGGGTTTGTTAAGGGTTCTGCTTCCTTCAGGGGTGCCGCAGGACAAGGCTGCTTTATGTGGGCGCAGCCTGGGTCTGAAGGCCAAGGCTGGCTCAGTCAGGCTTGCTTCTCTGAGTCTGGTTCCCACAGTTGCGTCTTCCTGTGCCCATCCTGTTCTCTGCTGGATAGACCCAGCTCTCCACCTTGCCTTCCTCCTGGTTTCTTGCTTTGCTTCTCATTCACGGGGGCTTCCTTGAAGCTCTGCCACTGGGGTGCTAACTTTTTTCCTACCATGTTTGCTCACGTAGTTTTGTGTTTTGTGGTACCAAACATGACACTCAGGGCCTTCTGCACTAGGTGAGCACTCTCCTACTGAGCCATTCCCCAACCCTACTGAGAAGGCTCTTGGCCTGCCCTTTGCCAAGGGTCTCCTAGTGTTTTTGGTTTGTTTTGTTTTTGGAGACAGGGTTTCTCTGTGGCTTTGGAGGCTGTCCTAGAACTCACTCTGTAGACCAGGCTGGCCTTGAACTCAGAGATCCTCCTGCCTCTGCCTCCCGAGTGCTGGGATTAAAGGCGTGTGCTACCATGGCCCTGTTGCTTGGTCTGTAGAGACTGTCCCTACCCAGTGGGGCTTTTGCGCCCAGTGTGTCCCATCCCTCCATTTCTGCTTGAAAAGCATTGTTTCTTGCCTGTGTCTGCCGTTGCTTTGAGACACCCCATGAGGGCATCTAGTCCTATCCAGCCTGACTCCCTGTCATCTTCCATATGTCAGGAGGCTGTGGACACTTGGTCAAGGACAGGCACAGTCACTACAGTCAGCCCCTCACTCACTGCCTGCTTGCTGCTGTAGGGCTTTGTTCACAAGCACAGACCACCTGAAGGTTCACTTTTTTTTTTTTTTTTTTTTTTTTTTTTTTTTTTTTTTTTTTTTGTTTTTTTTTTTTTTTTTTTTTTTTTTTTTTTTTTTTAAACATGGTTCTCTCTGTAACAGCCCTGTCTGTCCTCTGTAGATCAGGCTGGCCTTGAACTCACAAAGTGCTGGGATCAAAGGTATGTGCCACCACTGCCTGGCTGAAGGTTCACATTTGCTCTAGATACTTCAGGCAGGAAGGTATGTCACACAGAAGATGAGAAGCTTACAAACCATTCCCTGGCATGGGGTAGTGGCGGCAGCTGCAAAGCCCAGGGCTACTGCTGGCAGCTCTCAGAGTTAGGCTATGTGAGAATGTGGGGAAAGTACTGGGGGGGGGTGTGGGTGCTCTGCAGATCAGGGAGGGTGGATTTCAGAAAATGGCTCAGATGCTATGAGATCTGCCTAGAGCCACAGCCCATGTCCTGTTCCTCCCACTCCTGCTGGAACCATTTAAACTGTCACCTCTGGCAGGGACAGTGATGCCATCCCTTCTACCCAGGGAGAGCAGACACTGCAAGAGCAGGGGTTGGTGCCTTGCTGCCAACACAACTTAGCTCTGAGCCTGTGAGGGGCGAGGAAAACTGATCCTCAGTGTGTGGTCTTGAAATTACACAGAGGTAGAAAGTTTGTCTGGGGAAGTAAATATGAAATATCTGTATCAATTAAACTTTATTTCTACTTATAGACTACAAAGCAATTGGCAAAATAGGAGAGGGAACGTTTTCTGAAGTTATGAAGATGCAGAGCCTGAGAGATGGGAACTACTATGCATGTAAACAAATGAAACAGCACTTTGAAAGGTATGTGACCGCACGTCCTCGACTGAATAGACACAGATACCGGTTGGAATCAGTAAGGCATCTTAACCTTAGGGGGAAGCTTGTGTTTATATAAAAGTGAGTAAGCTATAACCAGATGTCCTTGGACAGTTAAGACTGTGATCTAATGTGTTCAATACACTGGGGCTTTTTCTTGTCTAAATTTACAGAAGTGTCAGTGATTAACACCTACAGCATGTATTGTAAAAGTGTGTTATGCTGGGCAATGGTGACGCACACCTTTTTTCCCAGCACTCAGGAGGCAGAGACAGGAGTATCTCTGTGAGTTCGAGACCAGCTTGGTCTAAAAAGTGAGTTCCAGGACAGCCTCCAAAGCCACAGAGAAACCCTGTCTTGAAATACCGCCCCCCCCCAAAAAAAAGTGTGTTATACTTCGCACAGTATGTGTATGGTGGATTTTTTTTTTTTTTTTTTTTTTTTTTTTGGAGACAGGGTTTCTCTGTGTAGCTTTGGAGCCTATCCTGGCACTTGCTCTGGAGACCAGACTGGCCTTGAACTCCCAGAGATCTCCCTGCCTCTGCCTCCAGAGTGCTGGGGTTAAAGGTGTGCACCACCAACGCCCGGCCTTTTGGTTATTTTATTTTTTAGACTTATTTTATGTGTGTGAGTGTTTGCCTGCATGCATGTGTATGCACCACATGTGTGCCCAGTGCCCGAAGGGCCAGAAGCAGCTGTCGATCCCCTGGAAGTAGAATTATGGAGAGTTGTGAACCACCATGTTCACCATGTTCACCACGTTCATGGAAACTGAGCCCAGTCCTCTGCTAGAGCAGCAAGTGCTTTACCCTCTAAGCCATCTCTCCAGGCCCAGTTGTTGTCATTATTATTGTTGTTATTTTGTGGGAGGGGGGGTTGCCTGCATGTGTGTCTGCATTTGTGTGTGCCTGGTGCCTCTAAAGGCCAGGGGGCATTGGGTCTCACGGAACTGGAGTTAGAGGTAGTTGTTAGCCTGCAAAATAGCATTCATCGCGACCTCTTCATTTGATCACTGTCCCTTTTAGTATATGGAGAACCCTTCTTGGAATACACTCAAAGACCACCAGTTTCCACCAACCAAAGGCTAAGATTGCATCTGAGGCTTGTTGCAGAAACCTTTTTGCTTTGCTGGAGCCTGCCTACCTGATGTTCCACCAGGATTTCATGTGTCCTGACTGATGTAGGCTTGAGTGTATCACATGTGTGCAGTGCTCTCGGAGGCCAGAAGAGGGTGTCAGATTCTCTGGAGCTGTAGTCACAGGTGGCTGTCAACCAACTACCTGCTGCAGATGCTGGGAATTGAACCCAGGTCCTCTGCAAGAGCAGCCAGTCCTTTTAACTGTTGAGCCAGCTCTCCACTAATGCATTTTAAAGCACACCGATGAAGGATTTTTTCTGTCCGGTTACAATAAGAACTTCAGGAAGATATTACCCACACTGGAACATGGTATCAGCTAAACTCGTGGGCCACAGTCACTCCTGTGTGAGTCCAGAATAAACCATCTCTTACTTTCTTTGAGGGGAGAGCTGTGCATTTGCATTGACAACCTTTACATTCTTTTTTTTTTAATTTTTTTGATTTAAGTTTATTTTATGTGCATTGGTATCAGATTCCCTGGAACTGGGGTTACAGACAGTTGTGAGCTGCATGTGGGTGCTGAGAATTGAACCTGGGTCCTCTGGGAGAGCAGCTGGTGTTCTTAACTGCTGAACCATCTCTCCAGCCCTGACAACCTTTACATTCTTAAGCAGAAAACAAACAAGAAGAAGATAATAATTCCTAAATTCACTGGGTTCATGTGGTGTGGTGTGCACTGACCCTGGGGCCTCGTGTGTGCTAGGCAGGCACTCTACCAACTGAAAGTATTCCCCAAACCCAAAGTCTCATATCTTAGTAATTTATAAACATAGTCTCCTCATGATAAATAAATAATAAATAAATAAATAAATAAATAAATAAATAGCTGGGTGTGTAGTGCATGCCTTTAGTCCTAGCACTCGGAGGCAGAGGAGGACTGATTTCTGTGGTTTGAGGCCAGCCTGGTTTACAAAGCAAGTTCCAGGACAGCCAGAGCTGTTACACAGGGAAACCTCTGTATAACCTGGAACCTCAGTTCTTTGTTTGTTTTGGTTTTGGTTTTGGTTTTGGGTTTTTGTTTTGTTTTGGTTTTTTTTTGTTTTTTTGTTTTTTTGTTTTTTTTTTTTTGAGACAGGGTTTCTCTGTATTGTTTTGGAGTCTGTCTTGGAACTCGCTCAGTAGATCAGGCTGGCTTCCAACTCACCGAGATCCGCCTGCCTCTGCCTCCTGAGTGCTGGGATTCAAGGCGTGCGCCACCACCGCATGGCGAACCTCAGTTCTATAGTATAGAATCTAGATTGTGTGTAAGGATTCTGGGAGCAAAAAGTTCAGAATATGTTAAAGGTAAGCTGTTTCACAGTGAGTTGGGGGTGGTGCATGCCTTGAATCCCAGCACTCAGGAGGCAGAGGCAGTCAGGTATTGCCTTTCCTTCTCCTCTTCCTCCTCCTCCTCCTCCTCCTCCTCCTCCTCCTCCCTCTCCTCCCCCTCCCCCTTTTCCTCTCTTCCCCCATCGTCATCCCTTCTTCTTTCTTCTGACAGGGCCTCAATAACCCTATAAGTAGCTGAACTCACTATACAGCTGAGGGTCACCTTGAACTCCTGACCCTTCTGCCTCCACACTCCAAGTACTGGGATTTCAGGCATGCATTGTCATACCACTTGTTATCTTTAGTTTGTAAGGTTTGGGGAACTTCTGATATGAACCCCAAATTCTGGCCTTCTAGGAGAGACTAGGGTGGGCCTCTTTCTTAAGCATTTTAGACATGGAATTTCCTTACAGAACACTTTTCAGGGCCCATGAAATGGCTCAGCAGGTAAAGCTGCTTGCTGCCAAGCCTGATGACCCAAGTTCAGTCCCGGGAGTCACACGGTGGAAGAAGAGAGCCAACTCCTCCACGTTGACATGTGACATGCCATAGGTGCATGTACTTGTGCTCATACACACATGCACACATGTGCACACACGTGCACACATACACAATAGATGAATATAATGATAACAACAAGATAAATCATGTTCTATGGAATACTTCGTAGGAAGCTGGGTTTTAAAAGCATTTAGGGGGCTCAGCAGTTGAGAGCGAGCACTGGCTGTTCTTCCAGAGGATCTGGGTTCAATTTCCAGCACCCACATGGCAGCTTACAGTGGTCTGTAACTCTTAAGATCTGACACCCTCCCACAGACATGCAGGCAAAACACCATTGCACATAAAATTAAAATAAATAAATAAATAATAAATAAATGTGAGCCTGGTGGTGGTATGCACCTTTAATCCAAGCACTCGGAAGGCAGAGGCAGATATATCTCTGTGAGTCTGAGGCCAGCCTGGTCTATAGAGCTAGTTCCAGGACAGCTAGGGCTGTTACACAGAGAAACCCTGACTCACAAAAACAAACAAACAAAAAGCAAAAAAAGCATTTAGGGGGCACTTTTGCCGTGGCAGAGGACGTAAGTGGGTCAGGGGGTAACTCAGCCCGGGATCCAGGGGCAGGTGTAAAAACAGCAGGGGGGAACTCAGCCGGGATCCTGGAGCAGGGGGAAAAACAGCAGGGGGGAACTCAGCCGGGATCCTGGAGCAGGGGGAAAAACAGCAGGGGGGAACTCAGCCGGGATCCTGGAGCAGGGGGAAAAACAGCAGGGGGGAACTCAGCCGGGATCCTGGAGCAGGGGGAAAAACAGCAGGGGGGAACTCAGCCGGGATCCTGGAGCAGGGGGAAAAACAGCAGGGGGGAACTCAGCCGGGATCCTGGAGCAGGGGGAAAAACAGCAGGGGGGAACTCAGCCGGGATCCTGGAGCAGGGGGAAAAACAGCAGGGGGGAACTCAGCCGGGATCCTGGAGCAGGGGGAAAAACAGCAGGGGGGAACTCAGCCCGGGATCCAGGGGCAGGTGTAAAAGCAGCAGGGGGGTAACTCAGCCGGGATCCTGGAGCAGGTGTAAAAACAGCAGGGGGTAACTCAGCCCAGGATCCAGGGGCAGGTGTAAAAACAGCAGGGGGGTAACTCAGCCCGGGAGCCAGGGGCAGGTGTAAAAACAGAAAATCCTGAGTAGAGCAGTATGGCTACTGTGCTTACTCGGGTGCCTGAATGCTGCCATCCAGGTTGGGAAGAGCTGCTCTGGGCCTCCTGTGTACTGCCTGGTCCTCTCACTCATCACATGAGACCTTTCTGAGGGCTGGTGCCAGTTGAGCCTCTGCTTTTTCTGGTTGTCTTGGGACACATGTTGCTAACACATTTTGAACACTGTGCTGGGTCAAGGGAGCAAGCAGAGACAGGCAGTCAAAACACTCTTGGACAATAGCAGGCTTCCATTGTTGGTTTGTGGGAGAGCAAGTCAGCGCTCAGCCTTCCAGCTACGCCAGCTCTGTGATACTGTTAGCTGTGGGAATTTGCCCTGGCTCCTGGGTAGTATCTTTCATGGCTCAATAAACTTATTTCAGAGGACGAAGCAGAAGTGTGCTAATGTGCTTAGGTATAGCCTCTCGGAGTAACTAGACAACATGCTAAACTTCCCACATGGGAAAAGTTGGTAGGACAGACGCAGCCAGATGACGGGAAGGTAGACATCCCTAGTTTCTTTTGGATACTCAGAGATGGAAGTCTCTGGAACATTGGGTCATTTGTCTGGGTGTGGCCCCCATGGCCCAAAACAGGGTGCTTTCTTGAAAGGGCTCTTCTGTGGCAGCAGCCAGCCTCATGCCCTTGCACTGGTTTTGTTAGGCCTTGAGATGTGAGCAGTAGACACAGTGGCTTTCGTAAAGGAAGGCCTGGTGTAGACTCTCCTGTGGCAGGTAAATGGAATGCTGAGCAAGCAGACTTTCTCCAGGATGAGGAGAATGGTGTCCCAGAACTTTGAAAGGCTGACTTTCAGCTAGTGTGTACTTGTTTAGTTGTTAGTTCTCATAAATGAATAAGTAAATTTCATTTATTGGGGAGGGGGTAGGGGAGGGGGGGAGGGAGAGGGAACTGGGATTGACATGTAAAACAATCTTCTTTCTAATTCAAATTAAAAAACCTGAAAAATTTCATTTATTAATATTAATTATTAATAAATATTTTCAACACAATTAAGATTTTATATATTTCTATGTCAAAAGAGACAACCAAAAATCTTCTTGTGATAATAGATGATAATAATTTTAATGTATGTCCTAAGTGATAAAAACTTGATTTAAGCCGGACAGTGGTGGTGCACACCTTTAGTCCCAGCACTCGGGAGGCAGAGTCAGGCAGATCTCTGTGAGTTTGAGACCAGCCTGGTCTACAGAGCGAGTTCTAGGACAGCCAGGGCTTGAAAAGATAAAGAAACAAAACCTTGATTTGAGGGTTGGGGTGTCTCTCAAGTGTTATTCATGACATGTTTGATTCCCAGCACCAAAAAAGAACCCTTGAACTTTGTAAGCTAATGAAGATGTGTGCCTAATTTATGCTTGATTTCAGTTTCTGATGGGAAAATAAAGCTTGATTAACTGCCTGAAATACAAGTGAGTGGGGTTTTACATTTTGATCATGGGAAATGAGTATGATTTCATACTGTAATTTTACCATTGACCTAATTGTAAGTTGGTTGTGCATTTTTGCCTCTATAATAGTATTGAGCAAGTGAACAACCTACGAGAGATACAAGCACTGAGACGCCTGAACCCACACCCAAACATTGTTACGTTGCATGAAGTGGTTTTGTAAGTATATTTGAGCTTGGGAAGTTACCTAAAGTAGAAAAATTTAAGATTGAGTTTCTTTTTATCATGGTTAGATATTTAAAATATTTGTTTTGTAGCTGAGAGACTGAGTTATCACTTCATCTCAATTTTATTTGAGCAAATTGTGTCTAATTCTTAAAATGAAAATGCCTTCATTTTGGTGTACCCATATTTGGAAAGCCTGTGTCTTCAAGGTTTGGCTCCTGCAGCTCAGTCAGGTCCTGATGCCTTATTATAAATTACTCTCTTATGAAAGTACAGACCCTTCTTATCATAATGGATACAGTGTCGTGACATTTTTTGCTCATGCTAGTAGAGTAATTTCTGTAAAGTTTACCTGTGAATTAAGAAGGCAGAGCACAGCCACCGTCCTGGGCCCAACCCTGTCACTGTGTCTGCGTCGTGCCTCTTAACTGGCTGTGCTGGGGAGTCAGGCTGCAGGTTCTAGGACCTGCCGTTCTGTGGGCTGTGTCCCCGGGGATAGAAGCCATGCTGCAGCTTTCAGGGAACCCAGCCTATCAAATTCTTGAAGGAACTCATCTGCCGGCTAAAATGTAGTAGATGTTAGTCGTGGGACAGCATAGTTTAAAATCAAAATGCCAAGTCTCGTCAGAGCTGTGTGGCCTCTTGGCCTGCAGTGTTCTTGGAAGTCAGCCACACCGGGGAGGCCAGCATTCATTTGTGATGCCACAGTGCCAAGGTCTGTGAGTGCAGGACAGGCTGCATGGCAAGGGAGCCCTGCCAGGCAGACTAGAGGTGCCCAGAGCAGCATCTGGGGCAGTGAGTTTCCCTGCTTAGGGTCTGAGTACAATCAGGAGAGGCGTGTTGTCAGTCCCAGCCTCTAAACCACTCAGTTCCAGACCCGTCCCCCCCGCCCCCCACGTGAGTGATGGCTCTTGTCTTTGTTCTCTCCTCTAGCAGGCTTTGGGTTTTTGACCCCTCCCATTGTAAGTTATCCTGATTACATCAGAGTAACATAGATCAGTTACAACTAAATGTGTGCCTGGGCATGGTAACACACACGCCTTTATTCCCAACACTTGGGAAGCAGTGATGGGTGAATTTCCATGAGTTCAAGGCTCTATGAGTTTGAGGTCAGCCTGGTCTACATAGTGAGCTCCAGGGCAGCCAGGGCTGAATAATGACGAGACTCTGTCTCAAAAGCCAAACAAAACAAACAGAAAAACTAAACATATGGCCATAAAGCATGCTCTAAATTCATCCCCCTATGGTTTTGCTTAGATACCTCCCAAGCTTTTCTCCTTTCTGCCCATAAATAGTGTTCTGTTTTCATGACATAACTTTTTAAAGATGATCTTAGAGCTTTGCTTTAGAACTCTCATAGTGTTTCGTATTAGTTTTACCTAAATGTTGATTTAAAATCAAATCTGTGCCATTTTAATAATCTCATAGCCATTATGGTCGCCTGAGAATGCCTGATTTACGAGAAATGTATACAAATGCACATTAAAAGACTTGATTATGTTTCTGATTAAGACAAGAAAAAGTAAAGTCTGCTTTCTTCTGCAGTGACCGAAAATCTGGTTCTCTTGCACTAATGTGTGAACTTATGGACATGAATATTTATGAGCTAATACGAGGTACGTAGAGTATTTTGAAAGGTAACCCTTTCAAATCTTCACGATCTTGTAATGAATGTTTGTGGTTACATATGTGTTACAGTCACTGTAGTGCTATAGTGATGATAGTGACAGGGAAGTGTGCAGTACAAAGCTGCTCAGCTGGGCCCAGGAGGCGTTGTTTTGACAACCTCTTAGAGATGACTGAAGCCACAAGCTTCCAGGGAGAGCCTGTGATTTGGATGAGGCTAATGCTGAAGGCAAGCCCTCCTCACAGGGCTGCACTCTGAGGGTACTTTGTTCCCTGACTCCTCTCTTTGGCATTCTTGGGCTTCCTTGGCATTCTTGAGCTCTTTCCTGGACTGTCACGGGGAAGGACCCCCCTCATTGCATGAGGAGTCTGACATAACTCATATTCCAGATCTTCCCTGGACTCTCACAGGGAAGGACACCACTCATTGCATTTGGAGCCTGACATACCTCATATTCCAGAATGCTCCTTCGTTCCTTTCCTCTGGGCAGTAAAGCACTGTTCAGAAAAGCTCCCTTGCCTGAGATGACCTGTCATGGCCTTGGATGCTTACAGAGGGCCCCGAGGGTGCCAGCAAGCAGAGCTTTGGCCCTCCTTGAGCAGATGTCTTGAGATGTCATGATGAAATGCAACTGTGAAAGCAGTATAGGAGATAGTCTGTTTTCTAGATCACATAATACCTAGAGGACAAATAAAAACAGAACCAAGCAAAGCAGCTGCCAGGCCTGGTGGAACACACCTGTTATCCAGGCTTCTTGAGAAATGGAGGAAGGAAGTTGCCAAGACCAACCTTAGCTAAGTTGCAAGACTCTGTCTCAAAATGTTACAGAAAAAAAGGCCTGAGGATATTAGCTCAGTGGTAGAACACCAGCCTAGCATGTGAAAGGCCTTGGGATCAATCCCTAGTACTGGAAGAAAATAAATGAATGAAATGAATGAGTGAGTGAGTGAGTGAGTGAGTAAGTAATAAACGGAAAGGAAAGAAACCGTTGCTGTAGAGTCATGTGAACACTGTCTTTGTGGTGGCCTCTGGTGGAAGCATCAGAGATGATTTAAACCTTCGCCTCAAACAGCTGAGGCCAGACTAAAGACTCCGGCACGTGCCTTGTCACCTAGCAACATCTGCCACCAACATTTTACATTGTTGTTTTGTTTATAGAGACAGGGTTTCTCTGTGTAACAGCCCTGGCTGTCCTGGAACTCACTTTGTAGGCCAGGCTGCACTTGAACTCACAGAGATCTGCCTGCCTCTACTTCCCGAGTGCTGGGACTAAAGGCATGCACCGCCACCACCACCCGCCTAACATTTTAAATTTTAAAGAATCTGTGTAGGGCAGAAGAGACAGCTCGTGACTGCAGTCCCAGAATACAGGTGGCTGAGACAGAAGGACAGGAGTCCAGAGGCCAGCATAGACTACAGAGCAAGTCCTTAGCTACATGGTAATGAGACTGTATCTCAGAAAACAAAACCAAAGAGAGCCTACACATGTCACTCCCTTTGGTTATTTAGTGACAATTCGGTGTATCTGTAGGATACATTCCTAATGTTAGAAGCCTTCTTTTGCTTCCCAGGGTGTGATATATTTACACTTTATATTCAAGGGAAGGAGAAATGTCTGTGTTGCTATGTGTTTAGACATTTGAGAAAGCTTTGTTTAGAAAATGGTATCCTTAATTTCCAATAGCTGGGGGATTGTGCAATTGGAGAAACTGAAGCATTTCTTTCTATATCTATCTTACAGAGACTGTGCAAAACATGCTGTTAGACCAACAGACACTCACTGTTGACATTACCCAGACAGGCCTGTCTTGTCTGCCTACTGTGCAGGGTGCCCATCACTGAAAGTTTTGCAGAAGGCACTTTATTCTCCAAGTGGCCAAGTATGATGGAGACCCAAATCCTCAAATCTGGGTCTATTTTAGGGAGGTGGGAGGGAGTGTGGGGGTGGAGCAGTCAGGGGTCTGTGCACAGGTAATCAAACTTCATGGCCTTTTCTGGGACACTGGAAGTGAGGGTGTCAGTATGGTCTGAAGGTGAAGTTTTCACCCTCCTAAAGTAAGAAAGCTACTCCTGGATGCTGCGACAGGCCCAAGTGCAGAGTCAGTGATCTTCAGGTCCCCACAAAGGAGAGCAGGCAACTGTTACACCATGACCCCCTTGTCAGAGGTATTACCTACAGCAAAACAGTGCTTCAGTTGCCTGCAGGACCTCCAAAATGAGTGACTTTGAAGCTGTCTAACAGCAAGTAGCCAAGAGGAAAGGTGCTTAGAAGAAAGACAGTGCCAGGGGTGTTAAATGTGCAGGGGAAGGACCCAGTGTGTGCACAGGCTGGCCATGCCCAGAGTGGGGAGGACCCTGAGTGTCCACAGGCTGGCCATGCCCAGAGTGGGGAGGACCCAGTGCCCCCACAGGCTGGGCATG